GAACCCACTCTGCGCCTGAGTCCTCCTGCGTCCACGGCCGTGACATCCACCATCTTAATGCTGTTTTTGGGGGGAAATTATTTTTCAGGGCTTTTAAAGCCGTTTGTGGGGCTTTTAAAACTGTTTTTTGAGGGATCTTAAAGCTCTTTTGGGGGCTTTTAAAGCCGTTTTGAAGGCTTTTATGTTTCTGCGTTTACACGCTTTTCTCAAAAGCGACTCCCAAAGTAGACACAATTTTACAACTATCATCAATCTGACAATCAGCTCTCTGGAGGAAAAGCCCCAGTCAGAGTCAGAGGAGACAGGAGGAGATAGAGGGAAGAACAGAAAGAGGAGTAGAGGGTCCAGAGGTCTGGAGGAGTTAGGATAGGAGTTAGATAGCTCTGTGGAGAGGGGGGTCAGGGGGAGCCGCCCCTGGATGTGAATACTGTTTGGTTTTTGAGAGATTCAGTTGGAGCTGATGGGCTTTCATCCATTTTGAAATGTCGGGGAGACTGCCTAGGATGCGAGACGTGTGGTGGTCGTCAGGAGGAAATGACAGAGAGTTAGTCGGACTCACCAGGATCTTGGAGGTGTAGGCGCTGTTGATCGCGATGGCGTTGACCAGCAGGTCCAGCGTCCGGGGGCTGACCTGCCCCGGGTCTGGGACCACGCGGTGGTGCACGTCACCTGGGGATTCAAAACTCGGTTTTACTCATAAAAACGTCCTCACGGAAGACACCGCGGCTTTTGTTCCTGTTTACTGTCCGAACTCAGATTTCTATCTGGGCTGCTTCTGCTTTTTCTGTTTGTGCTTTCAGAACAAGAATTACAAGTTTCCCTTCATTTCAGGTTAAACGCGGTCTTTAAAACTTTGATAGACTGTCATTAAAGTACGGTGGAACTGGTATGAACGTTGGCAGCAGCTCATGTTCACTAACAGCCAACTGTCTGTCTGTCTATCAATCCCACCAGAGCATCCTTTTTAGTACTTTTTATCCCCTATTAATGTTGATCTGGTAGTTCATTTGGTGATTTTGTAAGATACTGTGTGAACTGTAGTGTATGTTGTTGGGACCTTGAATTTCCCCTTGGGGATCAATAAAGTATCTATCTATCTATCTATCTATCTATCTATCTATCTATCTATCTATCTATCTATCTATCTATCTATCTATCTATCTATCTATCTAAACCTTGCATATCAGCAATGATTTTGCATCATGATTGCAAATTTGCTACAAGCTACATTTAATCATTCCTGGCCTAATTCGTATAATTTATATAAATTTTGGAAAAGTCAGATATCTGTATTAAAAGCTTGCCTTTTTGTTTAACATATTACCAAAGGCTGGAATATTATAATGAGCTAGAGCTAATGACGTCAGAAACTACCCACTCCTGAAACCTCCTGATTTATCTCCTGGATTCAGACTGAGGCGGCCCACAAAAACATGACCCAGTCATTTTTTCTCACACTTTGCCTGCTAATAGGCCCTCCACAGTCCCAAATGTACACAATCAAATGATTAAAAACTTGGTTTTGCATAATATATCCCCTTTAACTAAAGTTTGTGCCAATATCTCTGCCTCTGAGTCCTGCCTGGAGTTCCCATTCCTGACCAGATCTATCTATATCTATCTATCTATCTATCTATCTATCTATCTATCTATCTACTCACAGAGGTACGTCTGGACCACGGTCATCCTGTTGGTGGTCAGGGTTCCGGTTTTGTCGGAGCAGATGGCCGTGGCGTTGCCCATGGTCTCGCACGCGTCCAGGTGCCGGACGAGGTTGTTATCCTTCATCATTTTCTGCACATGAGAGACGGAGGAAGAGGTTCAGAGGGAGGGGAGGGGGTGAATGGTGATGGATGGAGGTAACGCAGCAGAGCGGAGAACGATGGATCACTCGGGGTGAGAAGAGAAAAGAGGAGCCAGAATCCTGGAAACGTTTCCCTAACCCTATAATGCCAAATGTATCATATTTGATTAATACGGTTTCTGAAATGTTTTGCGTCTGACTCCTTTTGCATTATTTAATGGTAAAAACTTTGCTCTAAATCCTATTGAACACAATCAGATACACCTGATAACAGGGGGCAGAAGACTACACAAAAAATAATCTGGACTTATCGCATAGTAATAAATTATTAATATTAAAAATGTATTTCTGTTTTATCTTTGTACATGTTTTGTTAAAAGGCCAAATAAAAACTTCAAACCAAAAACAAGTCATTTTCTGTTTTGTTTTATTCTTGGATCAGGCTTTAAAGGGCTAAACACAGGAGCACGTCTCCATTTTAGGCTCTCACCACGTTCTACCAGTGGTGGGCCGTCTCTGCAGGCCTAAGAAAATATCTGAATCACAGACTGATGTTAATCATATTTTGTCCATGGAAACTTATTAAATATCTCTAAATGGTCTGTCCGCTTCCTTTCATAGCTTTTCCCTGGTTGCGCTGCTTCCAGACATGTATTTTCATTTTAAAGCATTTAACCTCATTTGTTGCTAGGCAGAGTCAAAGTCAAAGATGTCTGCCTGGAGGCTTTCACAATCCGTTCTGTGGGCCCCCCCCAAAAGAAAATACATGTTGAGTACGCTGTTGCTTTAACCAATCAGATTTTAAATTGGGGACACCAGGGCCTTCTAGAAGGCCTTAGGCAACGTCACCGTATTCACCCCCGCTGATTGGATAGTCAGATATCCAATCAGGTCAAAGCTAGCAAGCAAAGGCCTATTTCGGGGTGCAAATGGACAAAGTTTTCGGCTTTTTCCCGGCTGAAAAGTTTAGATATAGTACACAAAAATGGGCAGGTCACTGTGTCTGCAGAGGAAAAATCCTCTGTAGTTCAGAAATGCTTCCCAGCAGAAACAGAAAAGTTTAAGAAGGTCATGACAAATTTATCTGACTGAACTTTCTCTTTTTTTTTTAGTAACTATGATTTTCTTCCTACCTGATGTGCAGGTCAGTGTGGAGTCTCTGACCTCTTCACTCCTTCTGCTCCAGCTCTAAATTTCATAGCCAGATTTAAAGTTGAGTCCCAAAGGTCTTCAAGACTATCTTACATTAATTATTTATTTCCTGAATCAGGATGTAGGACCACTTGAGTCAGTCAGGCTGTTTATTATTATTATTATTATTATTATTATTATTATTATTATTATTATTATTATTATTATTTTAACAAATACATTATTTACTCTTTTTTGTATATTTTTTATTTATTTATTTACTTATCTATAGGACACTTTTGTTATCTTTGCATAGCCCAGAGATGTATGTATTTATGATAATCTGTCTGCTTCATAAATAAATAAATATTTTAAACTAATTTCAGGTTGAGAGTCCCCTAAACCTCCCATAATCCACTGGAATTAAATCCACTGATTATACATTTAGGGTCTCTTTACAGCAGGTTTGGCTGGAATGGGGACATCTGTGGGGATTGTTGGTTTTAAGAAGTTTGAAAAGTTTACAAACACTCACTTCAATCTTAATCTTACCTTTTCTTTGGAACATTAAAAGTTAGCTATGTCTTTCCAAAAAGAGCCATTTATATTACTTATAGTCAAGTGTCTTTTTATGAGATTGGTTTGTAATCAAATTAAAGAAAAAAAATCTATATTTTGAACATAATTCCATTTGTTATTTTGGGGTTTTTCTGTCAACATGTTTAATATAAATCCTCTGTGAGCTAATCAGACAGAGTGCTCCACCTGCTCCAGCCAAGTAAATCAGAATCCAAACATCTGAACAAAGAATGAAGTTAAAAAATGTTTTTTATTACATACTGCAGTCTTTTGAGGAGACTCCAGGTCACTGTGAGCAAATAATTGTAAAACCAAATATTATGGAGCCATTTTGTATGAATTGAACAAATTAGATACAGTATTCCAACTTAGATGTTTAAACCCGGGAACAAGAGACACAAAAGAAAGCATCAGGGTTTTTTTCTTAATAACTCTCAATGGGAAAGGAATTAAATTCATCTCCCAAAACGTCAAATCTTTTCCTTGTTATAAAGCATGCGGGAGCTGCTCATCTGAAGTTTGACAGCTTGTTAGAATTGGGCTTAAATTACTCACTTTAGTATAGTATGTTATAACTGAATTCATGTAAATGACTGATTGTCTTATTCCTTTTTAGATTGATATTATTCCCTTTATAATTATTCTTTTGGGGTAAACTTTCTGGCTGTGCCTCCTCCTCCTCCATCCACACTTTCTTATCACATTCCACCTAAACCTGCATGAATTAGGACCTGGCCTGTTCATGTCAGAGCTAACTGGAAATCGAGGCTCTTGCTAACTGAGATCTGCTTTGATCAGGGAGAATTCAAAGAGAGCCAATAACTGAGACTCAAAATACAGGAAATGAGGACGTCCCTCATATGGAGCCTCTATCACAGTGTTTTCCAACCTTTTTTGAGCCAAGGTACATTTTTTCATAGAAAAAATCCCGAGGCACACCACCAACCAAAAATGTTAAACAAATCTGTAGCCGCCTATAGTAACACTATAGTTATTCTTATCTTATTCTTATCTTATCTTAGGTGTCTTGAATAGGAATCAAATAAACAAAAAAAAATATTTTTATCATATTTCATATTTCTTCTTTCAAATTGCACTTAACATGTCAACTTCAATATACAAAATGATATACAAAATCTAGTCATAAGGAATTAT